GGATTCAAAATGACAACTTTTTCACAAAAAATTGACTTTTTCAACTTAAATTTTGAAAGTGTTCCGGAAAGTCTGACACTTTTATATATATCTTAAATTAAAGCTAATGTAATATACTTTATCATGAAAAAAAAATTTTGGACGTTATTTTTTTTTCATGGTGAAAATGGCTACCAAATGCTATTATTGTGTGAAAATTCTCAATTTTATTTTTTACATTTTTAACATTATAATGCTATAACTTATTGAAAAGTGTATTGATCAATATAATTTTTTTATGGGAAATACTATTTTCCAATAATCTCTTTTTTATTCGACATACTTTGTCTTAATCAGGATATTAATAAGGAACTAGCAGTTTATGAAGCTTTTGGAATAATCCACCAATTTTTTAAAATTAAACACAATCTAAAGATTTGCATCGAAGCGTTTTTTTTTTATAGTGATTTTAATCACTGTCAGATATCACTATACTTGATCCAACTATGCCACGTCACCACTGTGCCGCGATCCCTCTGTGCTGGGTTTTTTCTAGTAAATTAAATACATTTAACTGACCTAGTCTATTGACTGAACTAAAGTAAATTAATTTTTTTAAGAACTTTAATGAACTATTATTATACTTTACTTTGGTTCTTAAACGATCGTGTCACAAAAATGTGACAACTTAAGAAATATTTTATTATAGATGGGTAGTTGCTTTTAAAGTATCCTTCCACGTACATAGTATGTAAGCGCCAATACTATCACCAGACCTTCTTTACCTTTTTGATATTCTATAGAAAACCAAGGAAGTGGAAAAATATGGGGATCGCATATTTCTTTACTATTATTACTAAAAACTCACCTTAAATGTATCGGTTTGCATACTCAAGGTCGCTTTCTTATACTCTTCTCTAAATTTGCTTATCTGTTCTCACTTTAAGAATAGGACATTCGCTAAATTGTAAGATATGAATATAATACCCAAAAGAGTTACAACAAAATTACATCATAAGACCTTGACTGTCAAATATTTTCACGTGCACATATCAAAATTGAAAATCTTATGGCATAAATTTTTAAAAAATTATTATTTGCATTATAAAATAAAACGTTTTGCTATTACATACATAACACTTATACCAATTATTTTATACTCCTGTACCTAATACGTGATTAAAAACGTAATTAAAAAATTAATTTCTATTTGACTAAATTAGTATTATTAAAACTAATATGAAGTCTTTATCTGTTTATGTTTAAAAAAAATACTAAATATTAAAAACTTTATTTTCATAATAATATAAAACGTTTTTCGATGTTTCATTCGATGTTATGGTCAATTGAGAAAATGCACTTAAAAAATTAATTTTTCCGCATATAATTTGACTTTAATTTTAGAAATTATTTATTAAACACCAATGCGTATTCATAAATTTGATATAACTATTTTTCGACATTAGTGTAAACTCAAGGTCTCATCTGTTGTAATTGCCAAGTTTTTCCTTTAATATTAGCTATTAGGAGATAATACTAAAACGCTTTAAAGCTGAGAAAGACGGCGTTTAAATTTAGAGTGAATAAAGTTTACACCATATTACTATGTAGATCATATTTTCGTTGCTAATGCATTTTCATCCAAGTGATTTTCTTCTTAAGTAGCTCGTAAAAAAAAGATGAATAAATATTTAATCGATGAGGAATTCAGAAATATATTTTCTCCTTTGTACATTAATGCGATTGAAAAGACAGTAACAATTTTTTTTTGAATAAAAAACAAACTATAATGGCAATGGTTTGATAATATACAATAACATATTATAAAAGGTTGGGTTAAGACTAGAACTGCGAAACAAATGAGGGTTATATAAAAGTTTTGAGCACAAATATAATGGTCAAAAGCACACATCAGTAAGTCTGAATAGATTATCCTGGATTGCTCTGTTTGTTTTTATCGTAATAGCTATATATTTATTGTCGCTGTTCAAAAATGTTCAGTAGTCCAAATCTACATATTCTATCTTTTCTTTTTTATTGAATCTCTCTTTTCTTTAAAATATAAGACAGTTATAGAATAAATTACCTAGCGTAAGAAAACTGATACCTAATGTCTAGTTACTATTTGTTTTTCGAATAGCATATTGAACTGTTATTTTTTTTTAGATATTCGACCAATGCAAAACGATTGTCGACTCTGTTCAAAGACCGTCAGAATAATCCTCTACAAGAAGCATTATTTTGGATCGAATACGTGGCAAAATACGGGGGACATCTTTTAAAGCCCTCCGAGTTGCCTTGGTATTTGCTGTTTTCAATGGATATTATAATCCTAATCTCTATTATCTTTACGATGGTCATTTATTTGATAAGAAATTCATTACATATCACATGGTCAATGACTCAACGACTTTGGTCTAAGTCGTCATTACAAAAAGCCAAAACAAAATAGAAAATTCATTTTTTTTTTTTACTTATAGATAATACTCTTTTATTTATTGTTGATAACTCTCATTTCCAGCGACACACTTGAGTAACGCTAACACCTTATAATTGTGTTAACTGTATTACTTTATTAAACGTTTTTTGTTTACAATGCTTCTGTGTTTATTATCCGTGAATACTTCAAGACACCTACTACTTGTAAATAATGACACGGTAACTCAAGAGTTAGATAAAATTATAAGAAGTTAATTGATTTCAATAATTAAGATCACTAAAATTCTTATAATTAAATTCATTAACTGAAAATAATTAACAGTTAATTGATTTTTTTTGATAAAGTAGATTTCAAATTAATTAAATTTAAATGAGTTTAAGTCTGAACTATTTAATAAGAAAATCACGAATAACAATTTATTTTAACTCAATAATTTTCGATTGATTAAGTCGCTAGTTAGCAATTATAATTTCGTAAACAACAAAAGTAATTTAATCATTTACAAAGCTATGCTCAAGGTAAAAAGGAATTATCTTCTAGCAAAATTATTGACACGTGCTGTTATTTTATATAATAATGTATGTAAATCAATTAAATTAAAAAAAATTCATTAGACGCTTTAATTATCATACTTAGTAAAATTCAGCTTCAGAAAAGTTAATGAAACTTGGTTATTATAATGCAACACATTAAATTTAAAAGTTTTAATATTCATTGTATAGTTTAGACCAGTAATAAATTCAACAGACTATCTTTAAGATTTAAGTATCATAAAAGTTTTGTTCTTCAAGAACTTAAACTTTTAAGAACAAAATTACCTATACTCACATCTGATGAATTATAATAATTTATATTTAATATTAAGATGACCAAATAGAGCACTTGTCCAGATTTTCGCGTATTAAAATGTCTATAAAGTATATTTTATTGTTACTACTTTTGAAAATTAATCTTCTAGAAAGTCTAGATTCCTTAAACATAAATCCAAAGAAAGTTGTGGTCTACATTATAACTATGCGAATACCAAACTTTTTAAATTAAAGAAGTCTTAGACAAGACTATTTCTTAAATTTATTCCATTAAAAAAAAATTAATAATAAAAATTTTAATTAAAATAAAAATAAATCATTTTAATTATTCATTGGAATATTTATCATTTTATTTCATAAAGCCCAAACTTTTATTATGTATAGTATATTTTAAAAACTTTTGATTTTATATATATATATTTAATTCTATTTTAATTTGGTTGCACTAGTTTTTATTTGAATGTTCACAAATTGCACATTGTAAATTATATAATATGCTTTTAGACAATCATCAGAAATCACCTTTCATCATTATTATTAATTATTTCAAAATAAACTTTAGCAAATATTACTGAAAGCTCAAATACCTAAATTTTTGATGAAGTTAAACAATTTAAGTTATAAAATAATAAAAATGTTTATTCAGCTCCTTCGAAAATATTTCTGGTTATGCCATTGTCGTGCTGATTTTATGATAAATGAAAGTATGAAAATTTTCGGGTTCATTTAAGGAGTCTAAATTAACTTTACTAATTTCCTCTTAACAAAAAGCTGTTGTTCTTTTTTTTATATTTTTCTTATTTAGAATATTATCAGTTAATTTGGATTTTATAGTTATAAATTATAAATAATTCGTTATATTTATTAAAGCAATGTCTACAATGTATATATATCAAAAAGTACCCAATTTTAAAAAGCTCTCTGGGGACAAATAACGCCATTATTTTAACTAAAGTACATTATTTTATATGTTGTGATTAAATCATATTTAATTAATTTTAATTTTTAATAAATTTATTGATTATTATTTGACTTTTTTTCTGGTCCTCTATTGTTTTTAATAACTGGCCCACCATATAAACTACACTATAAGTAGCCTACCCTTTTATTATTGTCCACATTAATGTTGGTACTACTTAATAATATAATTTTCGTCATTAATTTTTTATTTTTTATTTATGAATTTGAAAATGAATATTACCTAGTTGTTTAAAACTGTATAGTTTTCAATAATTATTTTTTAGGTGATTGATTCAACTATGTATTAGAGCTTTGGTCCCGTTATAATAAATAAATAAATAATTTATTATTTAATTATGTCACTATTAAAATAATTCCACTTATACTCATTAGAAATAATATTTATAATAAACTAACTCAATAATAATAAAACATTGAAAATTGTATACTATAAAATTATTACGATTACTATCGATTTTTGAATAATCTTTATCAAATGTAAAATCACGCAACTAGAGTTATTGAACACATTATTAATTATCAAAATTATTATTGAAAATTATTTTGCAATGAAATCCTACTCTATTGAGATTGCCCGTTATAACAGATAATTTCAACTCAACTGACACTTAAAGACTTAAAACAAATTATTTCTCGAATCCCAAGAGTATTTATGCCATTATATGGTATTTGTTATTATACGCGTATTATATTATATATATATTTAAAATATATATGGTTATACACGTTTGTGTACAAATAATTATATATTGTATACCATTTAGATAAAGTTACCAAGTACACTAATTTTATGAATCATGGATTTTGTATTATTGTTGTTAATGATTATAGTGGCGATAAAAAATAGTTATAGTTGTTAAATTTCTTCGTGCTTACAAATAGATTAAGAAGATAAAATAGTCTAAATAGTGTTTGGCCCTTAACTTTTAGCTTCGATGCCAAGCTGAAGAGGTATTAATTTTACCATGATGCGTTTATTTATTTTTTGTGACTGTTACCACATTTTTCAATTCTTACCGACCAGATTTTTTTAAACAATACATCAAAAGATAACAAATCATACTTTGATATCATCAAACATTGAGTATTTTACCTCCTCAATGTTAAGAAAAGAGACTTTAAATTTTTGAATTAGCTTAAGTTGATCTTTTTAGCGTTTATGTAATACACGGTGGCTGCATCGATTATAAAACAGTTATATATGCTCGGGTTACGAAGTTCGAACCTCCCCCCCGCGATGAAATAACTCTTTTTGTATTTTCTTCTTCCTTTTCTGAATTGAAAAAAAATTCAAAGTTCGTTAAATGTTTATTTCATTTAGATTGAACAACATCAATGAATATCTAGAACCCCATCTATGTAGTCTCCCCTTGTGAGAAGGAATTTGTTATTCATATTAAAATTTTCACTATATGGTTTTTTTGTGTCTATCATTAATTTTTCTCAGCTCTCACTTGACCAATTTTAATGACCAGTACATCAAAAGAACACGATTTAACCTTGTTGGACTCGTAATCACTGAATATTGAAAAAAACCCTTTAATTTTAAACATTTAGATAAATATCTCAAAATTAAAATTTATATCATCACATATAAAATTTTATTAAGAATAAATTATTATGTTTTATAGATTTATGTGTGATTAGGAACTTTTATAATTACTATTAGTCGTAAATTTATGAGAAAAACTCAAAATTCCATTAAAATCGCTGTTTTTCTTTGTATTTTTAATAGAAGTCTTAATAATCACTTCCATGAAATTCTTGGGATTTAAATAATTATTGATATTTATATACTGCGAAATATATTATTATAATATAATATTATATGCAGTGCATATAATACATTCTGCTTGTTACGTATTTTTCTATTAAATATATATTTATTGATTATTCATATGTAATCTAATAATCAAACGTATGTATTTGTTATATTAATAATAAGAATTTTTTTATTATTTAATTCATATGCGAAACTTTAATTGCAGATATGAAATGGATGCGAAAATTGGTTTAGAAATGTATATTTTAGTAACTAATGAAATTCCTTGTAGACCAGTAATAGTATCTACAGATTTACATGGAATCGTTTCTTATGATAGTGATTTTAATCACTGTCAGATATCATCTATACTTGTCCCAACAATACCAAGTCCACACTGTGCTATTATATTTTCTTTGTATCTGTCATTCATTTTTATTAGCTCTCACTTGGATGATTTTTTTGCAAGATACTTCAAAAGATTAGAAATCGTATTCAGTTTGAAAAATTACCTTCAAAAATTGATAAAATTTCTTTTGTTCCCCATTAATAAGAAATCCATCAAATTACAATATTTGTTTTTTGCTTTTATATGTATTAAAAAAAAAATAATTTTTGTAGTTAAATGTGTTAATAACATTTGTGTTTTGTGTAACGTGTGTGATAATTATTTTAATTGTTTACTGAGGCCACTCCATTGAATTGATTTATGACTTAACTATAACTTCAGCTTTTATCTATTTATGTAAAATTGTTCTTCGATAACATAAAGTGATTATTTGTAGCTAAACAGTTTATAAAATTTACTTGCGTAATTTATTCGATCAAATAACTTTATTATTAGCTTCAAGATACGTTTTATTTTTCGGTAACTTACACACACAAGATGGCGAACGGATCGAACTGGTGAACTACCGCTTGTTGGTAATGATCACAGTGTTTATGTAAGTTTACATTTTGTTTTAATACTTCTCTACACTACCTATATATTACTAAATGCTCCTCGGACAATATAAACAAAAAATCTAAACAATTGGTAGACCATTAATGTTAACCCCGGTAACATTAGTAACCTGGATTCGATTTCATTACGCAGGTTTTCCCATCCTTTCTAGAAAAAAACCATAAATTTAACAAACATTTAATCTATGCACAAACAAAATCTTTGAAAATGGACGTTAAATTTAAAAATAGTAATTATAGTTAATTAAAAAAACAACTTTGATATTTATTGGAGTTAAACGCATTTAGTAAGTAAACAAATAAATTTTACTCTCAAACAGTTTATGTAATTATCATTATCATATTAGTTGGTAGTATCTGCATAAAAAAATACATAATCAAATCCGACTTATCCCCATTACAAATTTAGAAATCTTAAACAAATATTGATATTATATTTTATTATTCATTTTATTTATTTATTTTTATCCTACACTACTTCTTAATTATTTTTCATTATTTTTCATCAACCAAACATTTCATATAGAAGTTTACACAAAAAAAAAAACAAGCTAAGAAATACTAATTTAAATTTTTCTTAATTAAATATAAATCCAAAAATAATCACTTTGAAATCACAAACTTAATAACATGTTTATTCATG